ATGCTTAGTTAGTGGCATCACTGTAGACAAAAAAACAAATAAACCACTTCTACTCACATAGCATTTACATGAAAGGTATTTAGCTCTTGTTCCTATCCAAGCATATTTTGATGAGGGCAGCAGTAAAATTAGCTCAGGCTCAGGCTGACAGTGCCCTGATAATAGATCTAAGCAAACACTGCTGTAATGTTAGACTGCATCTCTGCCAGTAAGGTTCCACAAAAACAAATTAGAGGATGAACAACTAGGTAGCGAGGAGGATCGGATTCAGACTGGGGTGTATTTTCAGGAAGATATGGCAGAAAGGGATGTGATACAAGAGGAAGCAGGAGATTTGAGGCATTTCTTCAGGAGAGGAGTTTAAAGTTTACAAAAGGTGGGAGACGGTCGTGCTGTACTGAAGGAGAGCGTTCCATTGCTGTGGAGTTCGGGACATTGGATGGAGTGAGGACCTGACTTTTAATAAGACAAAAAGGACTAAAAGTGGATGAGTGATGATTTGTTTGTACCACAGTGTGAAATTTTTGTCTAAATTATGTGGATCAAGTGTCAGAACCTTTGTAAGCCTAATTGCTATTATACAACTTTTTGACAGCATGAAGGTGGAATGCAGCCTGCCATCCAGGACAATGCCATCATCTTGGGCTAAACTGCAGTGCGATTGTTTGCTGCTGTGCTTTCTGCTTCAACAGCAGCCTGGAAAACAGATTGTATTGTGTGAGTCACCATGCAAATTAGATGGTGGGTTTGATCATTCAAGTGGAGTGCACTATTTGGAATATCCAACTGTATAAAATATTCGGAATGGAATAACAACACAGCCCCCCATAGAAATGGATGACATTCTATTTTGACCGTAATGTCCTATTTCTTGTAATTAGTATGGAAAAGGGCAGCAGATAGTTAGTGGTTCACTGCAGAGCTGTCACGCAAGCAAAAAGCTCTGCAGCTTTGTTTCATTGTCAGAAAGGAAAGTTGACACTGAAAAATGGAGGGAGAATATTTTTGGGTTGAAGTAGCTCACAAGCTGTAATTGCCTATGTTTCTAAAAGTGCTGGCACAAGTGTTCCTGTGTTTTATTATACCATTTTCAGCTTGAACAAAAACCCCAATTCATGTGTTTAGTTGGGTTTAGAGGAATAGCGGCTGATTATCTTTTGTTATCAGTTAATCAATGGATTTTTATTCAGACTAGCACTGCTGCTGTAGGGTGGCATTCATATTGATCCACAGAGATGAATTCTAATAACTTTGGTCACCTCCATCTACTATAGCCAAAAATTAATAACACAGACATTCCACCTCTTCTAGAGGCTCTGGGAGTCTTCCACATGCTGATAGCACCTCCCCAATGCCCGCAATTTATATACAATATCCCAGAAATTGATTTTTTGTAGAGCGAGCAAGAGTGGGAGGCAGAACAGCGAGCCTCCCGATTCATCTCGCTTAGTGCTAAGTGAAACTATCACTATTCTTTGTGGGTGGGTTTTACATTGTGGGCTCATTTAGGTCAAAGCACTGCTGTGCCTCATAGAGCCAATAACATCTAGTCTTGTTTTGATTGTAGGTTAATTAGTTTTATTAACTTTTTTTTCTATTAAATTCCTGAAAATGGTGCAACAAAAAATGCCCACAGCTTGTTTAATTTCACCAACAGTGGGAAAACTTCAGCATAAGATCCTCATAGTTGAGAAGCTTGAACAAGTTGATCTTTGGTATTCTGCTTTTTAAATAATACAAATTGATTCAAACTATATAGTGGGAGAATGTCTGTCAGGTGTGTCCATATGTTTCAACTCTTAAAGACACATCAACTAGCCACCAAGGTTAATCATGTGACTTCTGTCTTCCTTGTTGTATTTGCTACAATATATATTTTTCTACTTTAAAGTTACAGTATGTCACTAATCTTCTTTTAAAAATTGCACATGAACAGGAATATCAGTCAGTAATCTGAAGTTTCAAGTAACCCCTTTCTCCTGAGGAATGGAAGTTAAAGTCCACATGAGCTTTTAATTTGGTATTACTCAAAGATATCTACTCAGACTACAGTCAAGGACAAGCTTTTTAACGCTGGGAGGTGCGTAGACCTATATGTTCTTTAGAACTGCTCAGCTGATATTTTAAATACTGCACATTTTCACCCTTGTCCTAATGACTCTTAACAACAACAGTAAACATCAGTTTTAGTCAACTTGACAGTTATTTAAATGTCCACAGAATGCGTCATATCACTGTGTTCCTTTCTTATTTTGTCATATCTGATGTTTATTTATTCTTGATGATGCTCATCTGCACCAAATACTGTATATGTATGGCAGCAGCTTTTTTGATTGAAATAATACATTTAATTTTAAAACGGGAAGGATGTCAGCTGTGCAATTTGCTCCTCATATAACAGCATGATAATTTTAATCATATTCATACTGAAACACCGGGAGTCCTGGACTAATGTTAAGTTCAGCATATTTAAAGGATTTCTGAGCATCCTCCACAGGCTCTGGTAGTGACGTTTCCTTTGATGACCCCATACAAATGGGAGCATGTAAACAGAAGAGCATATTCGTTGCTTCTGTGGAGTTATTGAATTGCTTTGAGATACCATTTTAATTCTTCTGATGCTAATCAGCACCATTTGTACAGCCGAATTAATTTCCAAGCTTTAATTTTCATATCATTAGTTTGAAATGGTTTGTAACTCAAAAGTTCTTATCCTTTTTGATGTGTTAATGTTAATTTATATTAAAAAAAGACTAAATGAATTAGACTGGTAATAAATCATATGGGTAATTAGGACTGTCAAATAATAGAGAAGAGAATGCAAATAAGAATATAAATCAGTAGGTTAAAATAAATGACTATAGCACATAACCAACCATGTTAATGCTTGATTACACACTGATTAGATATGCATAGAGGAAAATATGGAAAAGACTAATTACACGATTAAATGTGTGAGGAGCAATTGTAAAAAGCCGCAATGTGAAAAAGGAAAACTGTGTTGGCTTCTTTGTCTCTTGCTCCATGCTGTGTACTGTTCATAGAGACATAAGGAATCTGAGCACATAATGTTGAACAATACAAAAACGTACACCTATATATGTTGCTGCAAACCTGTTACAGAAAGTGTCATATGTGGATACATTAAATATATTTATCAAAATTTGCTTTTGGTCTCTACGAAGCAATCATTACCCATCACTCTTTGTTGAATGGAGATATTGCAACTTGGAAAAGTTTGCAGAGATTCTCCTACCAGGGTGCTGAGCCTCCCAGAGGTCTTCATTATGTTAGGACTTAGTGCCGCTGGCTTTCAGTCATCAAGTACTCAGGTTGCACCTCCTGGGCACTTGGTTATTACCAGTTTCCACGATGGGTACTTCCTCCTCACAGTCAGGGATGCAGGAGGCTGCCGAGATGGTGAAGGGCCTCTACCTGACGTCCAGTACAGTACTTGCTCTAAACAGCCTGGAAGTGATGCTATCATAGCCTGCTGCGCCGACTTTGTGGAGATCCCCTAACTGCTCTCAAGGATAAGTGACAGAGATACATGCAGTAAAAAAAAGGTAGAAAAGACTCCAGAAAAGGCTAAATAACAGTATATTGACTAATTAAAAAAGATAACAGTGGAAAAGAATAAAGTTTCATAGCTCTACACAGAAAATAATAACAAATTTCATTAAGTTTAGGAAATGATTCCAGTAAAATTACATTTTTCATGAATGAATGCCTTTATTTATCATTGCACAAATCTTTAGTGCTCAATCTACATAAAAACACAGATATAATAGTCGCATAAAGTCCAGGATAAGTAATAAGTACTAACACATAATAACTAAAAAATATAACTGTATAAAAGCCAATCTATAAAACCTGATATATTGCAAAGCAAAAAATAGATAAAAGTTAAACATTTAAATTTTAATTAGATAAAAGTAAATAAACTCATCAGATAAATAACCCTTGTATTATTGCATTGTCCCATTACTATATTATTCATGGCTCAGGTCAGGCTCTGACAGGACATGACATTTATGCTCCCTGGAATAATGAGAAACTGTGTTCTACTGTATAAACATTCCACAAAAGGTCCAACATCAAGCTAGAGAGGGCATCAGGAGCAAGGCATGTATAGTGTATAATCTACAACATCTGTGCTGCCTTTGGCACCGCTGTGTTTCATGTCTTCAAAGTTAACTAGATAACAGACAGGTCCTCTACTTGTTCTTTACTTGTTGTCTGTAGTTTAAATGTTAAGGTCCACATCAACTTTGAACATCCTACAGGATCAATGCGACCTTCTTTTCGTGTCTCAAATCCTACTTTTACAGTATATGGTGTGCTGTCACTCCATCCATCCATTATCTATACCGCTTATCATGAAGAGGGTTGTGGGGGGGCCGGAGCCAATCCCAGCTGACATTAGGCTAGAGGCGGGGTACAGCCTGGACAGGTCGCTAGTCTATCACAGGGCTGACACTTAGAGACAGGCAACCAGACAATTTAGAGTCGCCAATCAATCTAACCTGCATGTCTTTGAACTGTGGGAGGAGACCGGAGTACCCAGCGAGAACCCACGCAGGAAAACATGCATACTCCACACCGAAAGGCAGCTGGGACTCGAACCTGGAACTTTTTTGTTGTGAGGCAGCAGTGCTAACCACTGCATCACCACACCAACCTTGTGTTATCAACATTTATCCCATTTAACTTTCTTTTGTATTTTTAATCATTTTAAAAAGTCTTTAAAACTTTTGTGTTGCATTTTATGAATTGTTTTAATTAATGTTTGAATAAAATTCATATTTACATTTCCCCACTTCAACAACTAATGTCAACCCCGTCAGATATATAACAATAAAAAAAACATTTGTGACTTTTAATTTCTGAGGCCACAACTGATCATTTTCACCAAGTAGAGCAGACTCGGTGTTACGCCATATTGGTAGCTGAATCACAGTTTTCTCTTTTTGTCCTGTATTTGTCTTGTTTAAAACCAGGTGTGGCAGTGTGGCGGCAGTGTTGAGGTCCTCCCATGTGCTCACATCGCCCACATCGAGCGTGCTCATAAACCCTACACTGAGGATCTAATCTCTCATGTGCGGCGAAATGCCCTCCGAGTTGCAGACGTTTGGATGGATGAATTTAGAAGCCATGTCTACATGGCCTGGAATATTCCCCTGGAGGTGAGTGATCATGCTCAGCGTGTTTTGGGGTTTTTTTTAAGATGTGCAAGTTACAATTAGTTAGAAATACGTGACTATGCAGTATTAATGTCTAATCTGAATATTGAACAAAGCAAGCAAATATTTTATTAAATTTTCAATAGTTCAAGTACCAGTTACCACTCAGTCAGTACAGCTTTTGTTTTATCACTTTGAAGGGCTCATATCACAAGTGTTAATTTGCATACACCATTTTTCATTTATGATATTGGCATGTGGCCTTTACTAGATGAGTCACAGAAGATATGCAAACAGGAAAAGGACACTGAAGTTATATTGCTAATGTCCTAACCACAAGCCCATGAAGATTCCCACAGCATTTTCCATTTTTATTTTCCCTCTGTATAAATATAAGAGTATTCCAAGCTGTGCTAGAGGACCGTTTTACTGCTCTAAACAATGTCTTCTGGAGCAGGAAATATTCAGTAACAACGTTTGGAAATGTGGGGACATAAAATCTGTTTATTACAGTACAAATCAATACAAATCTACTCCTTTTATGAAAGTAGGGTTATTTTTGTTTATTTAGCAGTTAAAATCAAACACCACATGCTGTAGCTTGTGTAACTGAAGAGGAAAATATACCCTTAGAATTGCAAAAGTGTTTTTTCTAAACAGAAAACCAAAACAAAGTCTTCACTCACGATCACTTCATGATGAAATTCTTTCTTTTCCTCAGCTTTGCAGGTAGGTAAGGTGCACTGTGTGCCAAATTGTATGTCTTTATAAAATTTGTGAAAGTGCACGATTCCCTTCTTTTGGATGCCATATATCAGCTTTAAACTGCAGGTGTAATTGGTGGATAACATAAATGTTGAGACTTTATACTGTATGTGTGCAGCAAAGGAAGCAAACACCTCTGACTTAGTGTCACAAGTGAGCCTATTACAGTATATTGTAGGTGTCACTCTATCAATAACATGTCACAATATTGATTATTTGTCCACCTACTAATAGAAACAACAGGGCAACAAAAAGAGCTTTAGTCAGTTTGTCAAAGTTTGATTTATTGTTTGGTTTTTAGTCTTAGTATGCCTCCTGTGCACAGGATTTATTGTTGCAGCCTTTTGTGTCTGTCAGATGTGAAAAATGATGCAGAATCCAACAAATCTGAGGACAGATTATGTCAGACGATACCATGGTAAACTTACAGGACCAACAGGCAGCTTCATTCTGCAGCCACCTAATCGAAATGTTACAGGGTTGAATGTCACCTGATATCAAATGCACTCCTGCCATCGCATATGTTTAGTTGAATCACACCCCTGACACCTCCAGAAGGTTTAGATTAAATGATTTCTTGTCACTTACAGACTGGCCTGAATGAAATACGTGCTAGAGAATAAATAAATATTTAATAAGATTCGGTAAAATGGCCTAAACTGAGACAATAGCAATTAGAAAATTCAATGCAAAGAATGACAATACAATTCTAAAAGTTTAAAGAAACTAACTGGATTACAGCTGTGACTTGGGAGCGAAATAATAATAGAAGAAATAAAAACAAATAGTAATGTGCTTTTTGGCAGAAATTACATTTTGTCTTGGCAGAAGATGCATCTTTTTATTTTATTTTGAAGCAGATTCAGTAAATTAAAATAAATAATAGCATCCTGTCTCCTTATGTTAAATGTAGGATTCCTCAAAGATTAAATCAAATGTTTGCTCACTGAAGCTTTTTAAATTTTCCTGTATAATGTGCTTGAATATGCAAACCCTTGTTATGAATAGATGAACGTCTGCAGGCAATACGTTCAGTCAATAATGAGGCATTTAATAGAATCTGTACTAATAAAGCATGACTTGTTCTTTGTATTTTTATTTTTTTTATTCATTTCAATAAACAAAACAAGAATTTATACAAGGCTCGTGGAATATATCCTCAGACATCCTGCATTCCTACCTGTATACACACACCTGCCCGACAGGTCATTGTCAGCTACTTTGTAGCCTACTTTACTGCTGTCTTCCTTTGGTATAGTGTCCATTTGTCCCATTTTGCAGTGAAGAAGTATTCAGATCCTTATCTTTAGTAAATGTATCAATAATTCATTAAGTATTAACACACTGAATTAAGTAATACTGCGTTTACATTCTTACTTAAAGCAGCAAGCTGCAACCTTTAGTAATCAAACTAGCAAGAGCATGAGAATCAAAATCAATCCATTCAACTCCACCCTGCCCTCCGTCTCCCTGTGCCACGTTTCACCCAGCCATTCAGGTATTAAATTATAATGAACTAGTATGCTACAAAAATTCCCACTCTAGTAGAAATAATGACAAATTAGCAATTGGAAGCTCCTGTTCTTACTCATCTAAAGGTGGTGCTGATATAAACCAGTCTTCATGATATAAACCAGTCTTCATGTGTTTCTTTTCACGTTTCTTCATTGCTGTGTATCCTCTCTGAGCTAATGCTGGAACCAGGAGCTTTCTAGCCTGTGAGTCAGCAATGGCAACATCTGAACCCTCGGTGCGCAGGGAGCAGTATACCCAAAGCTCTTTCACATGATTGACAGACATGAGCTCCCAACCCCTGACGCTGGACTTCTGACTGGTTCAAAGTGCCAGAACCTTTAGAAGGGATTATTTTTGCACTACAGCTGCACTGCTCAATGAGTCCGGGTCACAGTAGCCTTTGACAGCACCTCTCCAGTAAGATTAAGATTCTGGAGCATATTTCTACTAAAAAAAATATTCCATTAATGTTACATACTGTAGCTTTAAGATGTAGCAGTTTAGTACAGTGGTTTCTATCCTAAAGGCTAGGTCTCTCCAGAAGAGTCACAGAATAAGTCTGAGTGGTCATGAGATGATTAATTAAACACACTCTCATTCTCTCTCTCTCTCTGTCCTTCAAACAGGTATTTAGATAAAGCCATGGGGAAGTTTAGAAAATGTCTTATTTGTGGAACTGATGAGAAGCCCCCCTTTTCTGGGGAGCCTCTCATTTAATTTTAACAATGTATTATATTTTATAACTTTATCATGTATGATCTTAATATGAAAATGTCTGTCTCTGAAATGTGAAGTAAACATCTAAAATCTGTCTAAATGGATATGCTGTACTCAAGTAATGGACAAACACCACAAAATTGCAATTTAGTTTAGTACTGGAGAAAATGTACTTTCCATTACTAGTCACATGAGACTGGCCTTGACTGGTTATGTGATGTGGAAGCTGCAATAGTATAGTGTGTATATATATATAATCTATAGAGGCTACTCAAATACACAGTAAATAGCTGCACAATGCACCTCAGTCGCTCGTTATCTGAGTCACGTCTTCTCGAACCACTGTTAATCAGCTTTATGCTTTGTGTGCATCTGTGTGTGTGTGTGTGTGTGTGTGTGTGTTTCTGTTTGAATCCAGGACTCAGGGATTGATATTGGTGATATCTCTGAGAGGAAGGCTCTGAGGAAGAGGCTGCAGTGTAAAACTTTCCGATGGTACCTGGTCAACATCTACCCTGAGATGAGGATGTATAGTGACACCATCTCATATGGAGTAGTAAGCCACTGCCTCATCTTCATCTCAAATTCAATTCAGTGTCTGCAAAAGACAAAACAAGGCTAAATCATGCCTGAACAAATCATTTTAATCCCTTGTGTTGGGATCTGGATGGCTGCAGTCAGGAACACAAGTAGCTCACAAACACAAGGTTTTCTGCAGCAACTTTGACTCTTTCCTTCTTAAAATGCCACTGAATAAGAATTTTCTGTTATTTCTCTTATAACTGCAGTGGACCTGCATACATAGTTACATGAATATATACATTAATAGACACTCCCTTTAAAAATAGATACAGCATATTCCACTAGAGGGCTTTCCAATGGGATGTTATTAGTCAAAGAAGCCTGAAAAACTGACAGCCCAAAGGGCCATGCTGCTAGTGTTTCTATTTGCCCATTTATAGTTCTCAAACAGGTTTATTTCCATGGTTCTCCCACCTTGCATCATCACCGTGATGCACCTTAATACACAGTGACACACAGACCACAGTATGAATGATTTTTTTTTTCTTTGCACAAGATGACAAATCATATGGATGGATATAGCAAGCAAAGAAGTCGGCCTTATTATTGATACGAAGAACCATATATACGTATACTAGTTCTGACTCAGTAAAAAGGCAGAACTCGGACTCAGGCTTAACCAGGTAAAGGTATTTTGACTACAGAAATGATGAGTGGTCAGAACCGGTCTCGTCAGCTGATCTCAGGGCAGTGGGGAGTGCTGGGTTGACTGGTCTACTAGAGCTACAACCTGAGATTGTAGGAGAGGCGCAGCTGGCTGAAGAAAAGCAGAGGATGAGAATGAGTAACAGTGATGCTAAGATTATGGCAATACTGATAGTTATACTGAGGGCCTGAGTAGCAGAATTTACTGGCTCAAGTCAGGTGAACACCATAGGCATGAAACACAGTCCAGAGGAGGTGTAGGAGCTGGCACAGGAGATCACTGGTCCGGCGTGCAGTAGATGGTGAGGATCAGGCTTGCAGCAGATGGTAGAGCAGGTAGCAGGATGGTGTGAGGAAGGCTGACAGTTGGATAGCCATTCTTGTTCAACACAGTTGTAAAAACAAACAAATGAAAGGCAGGTCAAACAACTAAATTGATATATATGTTAAATATAGGGTGGCATTTGAATATCAACTACATTAGGTATTTACAGCCATATTAGTAGTTTTCTAGGGCTGTACTTGGGCTCAATTGTGTTTTGACCTAAATGTTTCTACTATAAAAACCTAACAAGCAATATACCCTGTACTTCCCTTAATCATCACCAAGCATAGCATTTGGGGTTGAAACAGACCATCCTGCTTTGTGTTTCCACTGTATTTTATCTCTGTCGGTCTCTGTTCAGAGGAGGGAGGGGCTGCTCCTCTTCAACATGTGCAGCTAGCTGTGTGTTTACACACGGTGCTTGTAATGCTAATGCTTGAGGTGGGAAGATGTGGACATTTAACCAATCAAACCAGCAACTGCTCTGGCATTGTGCATCCTCTGCCCCCTTGCGTTCATGGTACTTGATTTTAGTACTGCCAAAATTTAGCTCCCAGAACACATCTCCAGGTCGAGGCCAAGTGTAGTGGAAACAAACACAGAGCCCATAATGAGTGTTACTCTGTGTGACACGTTTCAGTGGGTTCCTATAATGGAAAAACCCCATTCAAGGTCAGTATGCTAACATTCTTGAAATGACATTGGCAACATGTGGATGTCTAAGCAGGTATAATGCTTAGACATCTTAGTTTAGTGAAGTAAAATGCAAACATTTGCTAATTAGGCATGCTACTAACATTTGCTGGCAGTTTCTTGGTTTACATTTGTTAAAAAAAATCATCTTGACCTTTAATTTATTCAGTTCTTCCTGCTCTGATCTAAAAATATGGATAAGGGAGGTGTAGGTGGAGCCTACAGCTCTGTATTCAGCATGGCCACATTGAAGCAATCCAATCAAATCAGAGGAATAAGATGTAAATCTCTCTTGTACCGTTAATTAACCTCACATATCAGGAATAGGTGACATTACAGAATAAGGTGAAGATGGTGTAATTGCACTTTCACTAAGCTAATATTGTCCCCATGGGTGTCACTTAGTGTTGCATATTTACAGTTTTTTCACATACAGTAGAAATGTTTAGACCATGTGCTGCCTGTGGATTTACTGATTAGAAATAGATATCTCCTGAGCCAAGGGGAGTTGAGTCATTTCTAGCTGTGTTATTCTGATCTTACATCTGTACCTAATTCATTCAACCCACCATCCTTGGAGCTCCCTGTGGTGCAGTTATCTCGCAATCAAGCAGCCTCAAAGTTGGAGTCAAGGTGATCAAGTGTTATACTTCAGGTTTACATTTGTATAAAGCAAAAATGGATTTTAAAGGATGCACAGCGTGATTCATATTTGTTTCAACTAAATATTCTTAATATTCCTGTGTTTTCTATTTATCTGAATACCAGACAAGTATTACAGATACAGTTCTATGAATTCTAGGTGACTGTCAAATGATATGTCTACATTAAAATGTATGAAAACAGCTGAAAAGTTAGTTCTGAATATAGCCCAGTGATCAGCAGGCCCATGTGTTGTGTTTACTGTCACTGCATAGAGGTAACTTGATCATAAATTCCATTTTTCTACCAGCATTTGTCAGGATTGCTAAGGTTGCTAATGCTACCAGCTTCTATGTGAGAGGAACAAAGTGGCATTACATTGTTCTACTATTTGTACTTGGTATGGAGTAAATACATGTCATAGCGCTTGGACTCTTAGCTCTTGCGGCAGTAATTCTAGCTTTAGTCGTAATGGATTTCAATTGAAAATTGCCATTTTCTTCTCAAAGTTCTTTTCAAAATTAGAAACAACTTCCATATTACTGATTGTCCCTCCAGATAGATCATATACTGTATTTTGTTACTGTCTTTTTATTTATGCACAGGTTTGTTATTATGTGTGTTTTTCTTTGTCTGTCAGCTGAAAAACTCTCTGAAGAATGATCTGTGTCTGGACCAGGGCCCCGACAATGACAACGTGCCAATCCTGTATCTCTGTCACGGGATGACACCTCAGGTTAGAGCACTCCTGAGCCCTCTCTCTGCACCATATAGCTGCCTTAAATATATCACCTCTATATTTTATTTCAATCTTGGGTGTTTCTTTCTCAATAAAACCAGTTTCATCTTGAAGAAAAATAACTTGCCTTTCCTCTGCTTTCAGATTGGATCAAACTCAGTACCTTTACCTCATAAAACAGGATCAGATTTGTTATTTTGACCTTTACAGAAAACATCCTCAATGATTTTAAATACATATTAAACTTGCCTTCATTTTTCATACACTTCCATTTGGGGGTGACATGTCCTAAGTGAATCCAGCTTTGAGGAAAATGCCACATTATTGACAAAACACAATATGAAATCCTGTTTTTGATTGTACCCATACATTTGTGTCTGTGTATAGCTTTCTTCGGTTTATTATCAAAAGGTCTGCATTGATATTATCACATACACATTTAAAGGTTAAAGAGTAATTCTGTAATAAGAAATCTGATTCAGACACAAAGCCTGATAGACCTCAGGTTTATTTGGTTATTATGTGTGTTTTTCTTCAATCAGTGTCTCCTCTGTGTGCATTTTTGAGCTAGGTGTTCAGGATATATCTCGCCCCAAACATCAGAGAGTTTAAATGTCTTCAAATGTTAGCACAGCTTGATTATCATTTACTTTCTCCATCCTACTCCAGCTCCTATCGATTCCTCCATCCCATTATGTCTCAGCAGATTGTTTTCACAGATTGTTTAACCTTGCTGTGACAGTTGTAAACTTGTCCTATAAAGTGAGGCTTGATCTTACATTATGCCTCTCAGTTCCAATTAATCTATTGGACGTTTCATACTCTTTACACCAGTATTGATACTTACATCACAGTGAAAATTAAAACTGAGTCAGGTGAAATCTTTAGTGAGAAATCTTTATAGTCTTGTGGAATCTTATAAACACTTTTTTTTTACTTAAAAACACCCATAAGTGAAATTGTGTAGCTTGTTCTCAGACCCAAAACATCTTGATAATTTTAACTTACCGGCCACTTTGAAACACTTTGAGCTTCATAAATACAGATGTCAAGGCAGAAGTGTTGCACTGAATTGCATACAATAGTACAGTTATACCTATTAAAGTGGTCGGAGAGTGTAACTCTGTTAGGTGCTTTCTCATAAATCCAGCCATATCATATAAAGGATTGGATTAGCACCAGAATTCCTAAAGAGATTAGGGGTCTCCATGCAAGACAAATCTAGCCTGCTCTATTTTTATGTTTTAGTGTTACATCATCAAGAGAAAGTAGTCCATGATTTCCTCTATAGTACAGATCCATTGACTGTTGCAAATGTTCGCTGTAGTCGGTCAAATGTTCTGTCTACCTTTCATTAATGGTGCTTTGGGGGAGCTAGACAATGCATTTGAGGCACTGCTATAAATGCAGTACATCAGCATGCTAAAAGAAAACTGCACAGGTGCACATAAAAGGAAAAGCATTACAATCCAACTGACTGACTTTACAAAAGCATGTTGTCAGCAAATATACCATGAAACACTTCAGCTCAAGCAGTAATGAAATGTACTGACTTAAGCTCAGCAACAATAGAAACCTCAGCCACATATGGCCTGGCATCCTGCATTGCTCCAGAAAAGAGCAACACTGAAGGAAAAAATAAATAAAATCACACTAGTCAGGCTGTTAAATGTCAGGTGTGAAAGAGAAGGGAGGCTGTTTAGGCGTTATCAGACAAGTAAAATTAGAGGAAGAAAAGAATAAGAGTAAAAGTATGTAGGGAAGCACAATAAGCAAAAACAATAAGCAAACATGGCTGTTATTTTTTTTTTAAGTTAATAGAAAATTCTGAAAGCTGGGGTGCTTTGACAGCTAGTGAGGGTTCTGACACAGAAACAATCTTGACCCCAGTCCCACTTACAAAATGCATAGATTTCTACAGACAGAGCCCCTCTATAATATTCTGCTCTCTGCTCAGGATTGCTTCAATATAAATCCAATTTCCCTGCCTTCTTGTTGTGTTTCTTTATCATTTAGAGTGTATAAACTCATTGAATTTGGATTTTGTTAATGTATTTGTTTTACTTAAGTAAAAGTACCAGTAAAAAGATATAAAAATACTCTATTTAAAGTTATTCAGTGAGAATTCTACTTAGGTAAAAGCACATTATAATTAGCAAAATGTACTGTATATAACACTTAAAAAGTAAACATCGTTCATCAGAAAACAAGTCCCTCTGAACGATGAATTATTATATATAACATTATTAGACTGTCAGTGTTAACTAATGTAACTATTTAATTGCATATAGTTTAGAACTGAGACAATTAGTTGATTAATTGTTGGAGTAATTTTTAAAGTGGAAATGCTAAAAATGAGAGTTTTTTGTTTTAGGTAATTGAAAACTGAACATTTTTTGACATTTTATATACCAAACAGCTAATTGATTAATTGAGAAAATTATGGACAAATTCATTAAAGATGAAATGTCTTAGATAGGAAGTTCCACAAATTGCTGATTTCATATCAGTAACTTGTGCATCACACCAAAGTAAAGCCAGTGTTACACCAGCAGACTCACAGATCTGTCTGTCACGCTTATATCACTAAGCCTTTTTTCTGAATACAGAACATGCTTCCCTTGATTTATTCTTGCAAATCATTTTCAGTTTCTGTGAGATAAATATGAGCAAGAAAACTGTCCTTCAAAAAAGCAGTTAGGACAGACTCCATTGGAGAGGGCACATATTTGGGGATTTCTCCCATTGCATGAATTAATAAGGAGATTCTTTTGTGCACCTTACCTTTCGTGATGCTCCATTCAGTCAGGATAGCTGTATAAATATGTATTTCTAGTGTATGTAAATCAACCTCAGAGATGTCTCTTTCATAGTCAAAGACATCCCAGTAGCAGGCCTTGTTTGCTGCATAGTTTATGGTCACGTACAGCTCTGGAAGGTCATTCCTCTAAATGTCATCCCCAGCTGTCTAAATATACCACATATATAAAAACAGATGGGTGACAAATTAAAGGAAACCCCTGAATAAATGAGTGGTCTTTTGGTCACTAAATGGTTTGAGTATGAAAATGATGTGAATCATATGCTGTGGCCTTCGCAGTCACCAGATCTCAACCCAGTTCAATACTTATGGGAGATTTTGGGCCGGCGTTTTAGACAGCGCTCTTCGCCACCGTCATCAAAACACCAAATGAGGCAATATGTTTTGGAAGAATGGTGTTCATCCCTCCTCTACAGTTCTTGTAGAGATTTAGAGAATCAACGCCAACGTGCACTGAAGCTGTTCTGGTGGCATGTGGCAGCCCAGCACCTTACTAAGACACTTTATGTTGGTTTTTCCTTTCATTTGTCACCCATCACAGTTTATTCATAGCAGAATGTGGTGTTTCTTGCAGAATGTGTACTACACCAGTACACAGAAGCTCCACATAGGGCTCCTCAGTCCCACCGTTGATGATGACGACAACAAGTGCCTGGTGGATGTCAATAGCAGACCTCGTCTCATCGAGTGCAGCTATGCTACAGCCAAACGCATGAAGCTCCACTGGCTCTTCACTCAGGTGATGGCACATGACACAGCCCCACACATGGTCAGAAAACACAAGGTTAACATTCAGTCTGCTGTTTATACTAAGCCTCGGTCATGAATGTGACAGGAAAGCCAACTGTGGTGGAAGCTTTTAATCGTGCAAGTGGTTTAATTTACTGTTTGACCTGAGTTCCCCTTAATGCTGCAACTCATTTAGACATGGCGAGTCACAAAAACTAAGTAATTGTCTTTCTTCATTAGAGACTCTGCGCTTGTATTCTGTTTTAACAGAACAAGTAGTCACCTCACAAAATGCCCCATGACGGTGGGTGAATGGGATTTACAGCATGCTTTAATTTGATCACATCGTTGTTTTCTATGCCATCAGTGCACTGCTAGTTATAGATTAATTATAGATTTTTGCTCCTCCTCAAATAAGTATAAAACCCTCAATGTTAGATCCCTGTTATAATGATTACAATGCTCTTTTGACTGTATCACTTGTGAACAGGCTGCTACAGGTCTACGTCGTCAGTGTAATGAGCACTAGGTGTGAAAAGATTTTATGATGCTTGAACTCGTATGTCACATATCCTCACACTGAACTTATTTTAGTTAACTTTGCATAATTTAGTAAGAGAGATGGGGCCATATCAGCAAGGCTACAGCATATCTTGTCCCTGAAATATGGCATCAATTATTGACAGAGTTTTGGCTGCACATGTGCAAAGTGTCAAGCTCGAACAGAAATAGATTGCCTTGGTGCTGCCATAGCAACTTTGGGGAACACAGAACTCTACAAATGAGAAAGAGAGAAAGAGAGACTATTTTTTTTAAATTAATTCAAACATTGCACAATTCTGCACAAAAGCTGACTATCTGAAGATGTCCTTAATTTTGTTACGGTGAAATGTGCCAATTGTTTAATTTCCCTCACCCAGTATGAAGACTCGTAGCTATTCACAAAAAATGGTTATGATCATTTTTGATTGGTGAAAGTAATGAAGTGTGTGCTTGTATGTAAAGATTAATCATGTTCACATACAGTGCTGATTAGAAAAACAAACACGTATTAAGTGGATGGGACTAGTTGGGTTTGCTTGTGTGATTTGTGGGCAAAGCCTTTTTGTATTTTTCTATAACGAGTTGCCTGTTGTTCTGGATATATCACAGTAAATTAAATGTAAACCCAGTGAAACTACAGCATCCTATATCGATAGCAACTGTCCCACATGCTATATAGATGACTCCTGGAGGCTGTTTCAAGAAGCAGAATCAAGATGAGTAAAACCCAGAGTGGCTTATTTTATCAGTTAATCTTCAAGATTTCAAAAGACTTTGGGTTTTATTTTGGTTCCAGGCCTTTAAATCATCACCCAGATTTTTGATTTGTTCTGCTTATTGATGGCAATTTCCAGCAGTTTGAGAAGCAATCAGAGCTTCGCAGGCAGGATTAAAAATAGGGATGTAAACTGTCTGTGCAAGAAACAGAAAAAAAGCTACATTAATGGGTTTCAATGAGGCTATAGAGGTAGGTCAATGTATAAAATTAACTGTTAACAAATCAGCAAAGAAAGGATCCTAATGTTTGGCTAAATTAATAAAGTCTAGCCAAATGGTAATTCAATCTAATTATTAGACCAGGACATCGTGATAACTCAGTAAAGCCATTCTTGGAGCAGGCTCCTCCTTATCAGGGGTTTTTAAAAGCTGACACTCTGGGTCACTCCTCTGACAAACTCTCGTGCCCACACTGCTGTTGATCCAGCTGTTGACTATGTCGATAAATGGGCCAAATCGGTGGGACAAACAACAATAATTAACTTCCTGTTGTTTTGTGAACATCTGCAGGTTCTGTCACCTCACTCGGTCTTTCAACTCTCTGACACCGTCCTGTGGTGGCACGCCTCACAGTTTGAAAACCTGTGCTCGAAATGAAGTAACCATTTGGTGTAGTCACAATTAAAAAAATAAGCGCTGCTCTTTAACATTGCTCTTAACATTTTTTGTTGCCGATTTTTTTTACCTGAAAATTAAAAGTAAATCTTTTACTTTAATGAAGACAACAAAATACTGAGGGCAAAGCACCCTGACACCAATCAGCCAAGGTTGCACCGGCAGCCATCTCTGAATGGGGCTTAAATACAATAGGTGTTTCAACATGCACTTGTTTGCAGTGTATTACATCTGATCCAGCCTTGTAGTGAAGGTTCATTTTTGACTTTGCAAACAACAGGTTAAGAAAAGAATGTCTGTCTGATTTGTTGTTTCTGAAGCTATCAACCACATCTTGTGGCCTCCCTCACAGATGGATTTGCTCAGTTGTCATGGAGACGGTGTAGTTGTTATCATATCATAAAATACTGTAGTCTAATATTATCATCTTTGCAGTTCACTCTACCCTGAATAGAGGTTCAGTACACAAAGGATGTGACACAGATCTGGCTTTACAGTTACAGTTATTATTGCTGATACCCTTTAGTTTAATGTCTTGATTGCACCACACTCTGCACTTACTATGGGTGGGCTCAGGGCATCCCTACATAATGACCTATAAATGCCCACTCCCAGAAGTTATGACCAATCTGTTATCTAGAATAAATATCTCTTGGACCTCACAGACAGATCAGTCTTGAAAATACAAAGAATCGTTTAGCTCACAGTCAGTGCAGCCTGTCCAGTTTGTCTTTTTCTCTCCCACATCTGTCTGCATTCCTCTTACAGTGCTGGAAAGAGCTCTCTCCTCACAGCCCTCTCCACACTGTATTGAACGTTGAAGGCCACCTCTTCAGTCACTTGCCCTTTGTCAGCCTTGACACCATAATGAGAAAATCCTGCCTCGTTTCATCAGGACATGCTGGAATATTTTTTGCTGAGCTGATTTGCTCACTCTGTTCAAACTCTGGCAAAAGCTGTCTTATTAAAGTTTATAAATCGCTGGACCTCACTTTTTTTTCTGCACCAAAGATTTTGCTCTTCCTTCAGGCTCTGCATTTCCCATAAATCAAAGACTTCATTTCTTTTAAATATTTTAAACCATATTGTAATGGCCCATGCCCTTGTGTCAACTTCAACTTCTCTTCCATTTCTCTCCCATCTTTCTGTTTGTGTCTTTACTCTTCTTTTGATTTTGTGGTGTTTAGTCTATTCCCTCAAAATCTTGGGCTTGCTCAGAAGAAAGCTAATGACTCACTGGCAATTGTATTGTTGTTTTTGCCTTGAGACCATGTTGATGCTATCTGGTGGGCGCAATGAGGATGCCAGTGTGAATCAGCCAAAACGCCCAGAGCTTAAGGCGCTTCGGCAGCTCACATCCATATCCATTCACAGCAGTGTGGGGTTATACAGGAGGAAAGTTACACTGTGCGCACAAATTGTTCTTCTGGAGTCCTGCACGATTTAAACAGCCTGTCTTTATCTTTTCAGGGAGGATCCGTTCAGAACAGGAAATCAAAGCGATGCCTAGAGCTTGTAGTGAGCACTGAAAATGAGTTTGGCTATCAACTGGCTCTGCAGAAATGCACTGGACAGAAATGGTTCATCACAACCGTGCTGTTTAGCAGCTCTTTATGATCGACTGCTGAAAGGAACACTGCAGTAAATAGCACAGCCGACTGGATAGTTGTATCTTTTGTGCGGACGTGTGTATGTGCACATGTCTGTGTGAGCGGGTAAGAAGCAGGAGAACGGTGTGTGGTTGAGCATGTTCATTATGAGCACCACAATGTCCTCTGATGAGTGGTCAACAAAACATCGTAAATGTTAAACATTTTATTTTGCCTACAGGATGAGCCATAGTTGGCGGATATTTTGCAGATCTGACCATGTAATATATTCAGTATATTTTGTGGTAAATATGGTACAGTCAGATTTTTGTTGACTTTAAAGATGTAATGGGTCCAATATGTTTTTGTACTTTGTTCATAGTTGCTACTGTGTAGCAAACCTTCTGAACCTGTCCCTGCTGTAACTGTTTTATTTTAGTGTCTCAGGTTTGTAGGTTTATTATCTGATCCAGCTGTATAGATGTGGGAAAATGTTGGAATAAATCTGAAAATGATAGATTATTTTCTACATGTAAATATATCAAATATTTGTATTATACAACAGTAAAATAACCCATGTAAACTTTTGAATGGAAGTGCTTTTTTATTTGTTTGTTAAAGGCACAAAGGGGTCGCCCTGTGACTGATATGACTGGAACTGGCCATCAATCCAAAAAAGATTTTTTTTAAACTAAAATTTCTGACACGTACGGCGGCCCTGGGGGTTAAAAACACAAAACAAACAAAACACAACAAATTAAGAAAATCTTCCATAGTTTCCACAACCAAAAAGAGAAGCAAATACAGAAATGCTGAACGTTGCAACTGAACAAGCTGATAAAAGACATTTTCGAGGGAGAATAAAAACTTGTGGCATATGAGTTATTGGTGTGGTTTGTGATTCATCGACTTACTTGTGACTTGGCTTGATACAGCTTGATGTTACCCTGTACACCTTAATATACACTATAAATATTTACTGTTTAATAATATGTGAATCATGCATTCTAACACTTTCAATATTGTGTGTTCACTTTCCAAAAAAACTGGGTTGTACTCAGTTTAAAGGATGTCCATCTCAGATGAACACTGAAACAAGTTTTGCCTAGCTCAGTCATTCCTCCTGTTTATACTGGTCATTACTTCCTAGTGTGAATCCAATGAAAGTCATAGGGAGCAAAATCCATGAGCACGTTACTGCTGTTTTAAGACAGACTTACACAGATGTTGAACATATCTTTTAAGTTCATTTCTGTATTTGATTATGTTCTTTACAGAGGGTTGTGTTTTTCCGTTCTGCTGCACTGCAGTGCATTTCATTATGCTGCATGTGTCATGTCATTTGCTAGTGCTTTGGCTAACTCTCCGCACCAATATATATTTGGCCTTTTATTGAACAATGCTTACACATACAGACTAATGACCTGTATGTGCATACTCACAGCATTTAGGAAGTATGGAAGTGACGTTGT